CTGGGATCACTGAAGTGGTAGCTGGCTGGGGTCATTGACATGGTAGCTGGCTGGGGTCATTGACATGGTAGCTGGCTGGGGTCATTGACATGGTAGCTGGCTGGGGTCATTGACATGGTAGCTGGCTGGGGTCACTAGAGGAGAATGTTTATATTTTAGTGCTTGATGACTTATGCTATTGTTGTCGTTGAAAAGGCAGGATGTACTCACCTAGTTGTATTTGCGAGGGTTGAGCTCTGGCTCTTTGGAAACTGAAATGTGTGTGTGTGTGTGTGTGTGTGTGTGTGCGCGCACGCGCGTGTGTATAAACTTATAAACGTGTTTGCAGGGTTGAGCAGACCAACTTTATAATGGTTCAATTATATTGACGGGGGGTAACCGATGAATCATTGCAAACTCATGCATCCTTGGGAACTGATGAGATGAATTACATCACGAGGAGGAGGCTGCCAGTATAAGATAGAATTACGGAAGACAACGAGATGAGCAGTTTCCAAGAGTTGCAGAAAATGAAAGCATAGATTTCTTCTTAGGAGAATTCTCAATCTTGTTGAAAATTTCACCCTTCCAAAAAATCCATCCAGGTTCTCTTGACGTCATAAGCTAATATAATCTCAAGGAGAATGAATAGAGACTGTCACTATCCTGACAGGAAATAACTACACACAACAGTGAAAGTCACCATTGAGCATCAAGATGCCAGGAAAGTTCGACAAGGTTAATATGAGCACTATAGTTGCTTTGAATGACTCCATCAACACTTGGTAGCATCAGGAACACTCTATCCCTGGAACGTATTTTTGTTTTGTTTTTCAATTTTGCCCCGAGGGGCGAGTTTATTGGGCAGCGCCACTCATCCTGTGAGTGGTCATACCGCCATAGTGACAGTATTGGGCAGCGCCAGTCATCCTGTGAGTGGTCATACCGCCATAGTGACAGTATTGGGCAGCGCCACTCATCCTGTGAGTGGTCATACCGCCATAGTGACAGTATTGGGCAGCGCCACTCATCCTGTGAGTGGTCATACCGCCATAGTGACAGTATTGGGCAGCGCCAGTCATCCTGTGAGTGGTCATACCGCCATAGTGACAGTATTGGGCAGCGCCACTCATCCTGTGAGTGGTCATACCGCCATAGCAGCATGTACAGCACTTCCCAATAGGAAGAAAACCCTATTGGGAAGTGTTGTGTATTTGACTTATAATCTTACTCATACAAATAAAAAATAAGTTTCGAAATATAGTCGGCAAAGTATGTAAAAAAATAGAAAGAAGTTCGAACAAAAATGTGAAAAGAATGTACGTTGTTAATATTTGTAATTTATAACCTCATCCAGCAAAGAATCTGGGAAATATAGCTGTCACATCCGTTATTGATGGTTAATATAGAAATATATAGAACAGAACGAGAGATGAATCAGTCATCTCACAAACAACACAGTGTGAGGGGGAAAATGTTGATATATAAATCTGTCAGGTGTTTTTGTCGATTACGTTATGACGTAATATGTCTGATAAATTTGTCAGATGTTTTGTGGCGTTGACTGTGAATGTGTCTTGTGTCTCCCCGACCCGTGCTGAGCATCACCTCCCGTTCCTCAGCACCATCACCTTGTCCTCAGCACGACCTCCCTCCCTCAGGACCAACACCTCGTCCTCAACACGACCTCCCTCCCCCAGCACCACCTCCTCATCCTCAGCACGACCTTCCCTCCCTCAGCACCACCTCCCTCCCTCAGCACGACCTTCCTCCTTCAGCACCACCACCTCGTCCTCAGCACGACCTTCTCTCCCTCAGCTCCTCCATACCGGCCTCCCCACCTCCCTGATCTCAGCAAGCAACCTCCTTGTTCTCAGCCCCGAGCCGTCCTCAGCACCTTCCCATCACGGGCGGGGAACGATGGAAGTCGAACCATAAAGATAAAAATACACTATTCTTCCAGAGCCCCCATCTACCCCAACTCACTCCACCGTCCCTCCTTCTCCCCGAGTCGGTCGTAAAGGAAAAAGATGGAAGAGAGAAGGATTTTTGTTTACATGCTGGAGATACGGACCTAAAGTGTTTTGTTGACAGTTGTTGGACTAACTTGTTTGTTGGCAATGGCTGCAATGATGCACAACACCAGCTGATATCTACGGGTTGCTGTTGCAGGAGTACAGCATATGTTCTCAAGGGTGGGAATAATAGATTACAGCATTTATTTTAGAGGATATAGATACTGGGACATAGAGTTTTTTGCATGGGACTTAAATACCGGGAACAAGGGTTTATAATGCTTCCCAAACTGCGGTAGAAACGTTACTTACCAGTTTATATTGCCACACTGGTATACTGGTCATCATATGAATGCATTACATAAGGTGAGCATATGATCAAATGACCTTTCGTGGTTTTCATATTGCAGTTCTAAACTGCACATATTGTATCTATTTCATCACAGAAGTGGTTAGCGAAGATACAGACAAAATAAAGCTAATGGCGACATATTTAAAGATCAGGTGAATTGCCCAGGTTAATTCGCTGTGGGTTTGTTAAGACCACTTTAAATGTTACGCAGGTGTAAAGTGTAGCTATAATTAAGCGGCTGGAGGAATTAGAGGTGTACAATTATTGAACAACAGGTAAGTCTTAAGGAAAAGGATATGCAACAGAAAAAAGTATTCTAGGAAGATAGGAAACTTTTCACAGGAGGAGAAAACAGTAAAGTTCGTAGTATTCGTTGAGCTGAAAAACAACTTATGATGGAGTGAATTGGAGCGCCATCTGAGTGGCTCTGAAAGTCTTCGGTGAAGGAGCTGAGTTGCAGAGCAATATAATATTTTTTATAACTACAGTAAAACATCGGTAAAGGTGACTGGAGCACAGAGGGGTTGGTGGTTCGAGTTTCCTTGTGCCTAAGTGAATGAAATATATGCAGCTGCCCTAGACTATATGAAGGGGAGTACAAAGTGTGTTAAGAACTAGCTACGTGATGCTAAAAATCCCCAACACACAGGATGGTTAGTCATACAGGGCAATATATGTGATCAGTAACCTGCACTGGCAAACTCTGGATGCATTATGAGGATATCATCATGGTGGTAAGTCTCGAACAATTGCTTCAAGGAGAAATATTGGGGTTAAAAGTAAAACTTTTCACATTGTAAATCTAAACCGAATCCGTAGCATTAACGGGTCGTATATATGAGTTTCTCGACGCTTTAATATCCTGCAACTGCAGTTTCCCAGCACTCTGGGGTGTGTAGGGGTGTGTGTGTGTGTGTAAAGGATCAATTTCGAGTGCACATGTGCATGTAGTTGTGTACTGAAGCCTTCGAGTGCACAGAACAGTGTTCCCATCACACTTGGGGTCACTTAGACGCCTAGCGTGGTGGGTGAAGACAATAATAATATTTGTGTTCGTTCCCAAGACGTTATTAAAAAAGTTTTGAAGTACAGTAAGTGTAGTTTTGGACAACAGGCTTCGGATTATTACATGTCACAAAGAAAACTGAGCTCTGGGGCTATATCCATATATATATATAGAATATACAAAATAATAAATTTAGTGTATATAATAAATAATTACAAATTTAGTATATACTAAATAGTGACAAATTTAGAATGTAATAAATATTAACAAATTTTGTATATACTATACAATGACAAGTAATTAGGAAATCTGCAGTTGTGATCTGGAGCACATGCATATAGTCAATACAACGCAACCTCTAAAGACAGTTAAAAAGCCCGGTTTCTTATTATGTGAATGAAAGAAGAAAATTTTGACAGCCTGACCCCCCCCACTTCTCCCTCTGCACTCTGAAAGATTTCGCAGGTTATTATTATTAACATCTCTATTGACAAAATTTAATTACAATTTTACCTAATCTGAGGATTTCAATTAAAGACTAAGCCACCCGTGCAGGCCAGAAGTTGGACTTGGTTGTCAGAGGCTATTTGAGACGCATGCCGTACGGGAGCTTTTTATAGATCATGGGAGCTCGTCCCCCATTACCACCCCCTGGCTATGACAACCCCTTGAAACCAAGGGCTTGTTGTCATCTTTATAATAATAGCATTAGATAGTCCAAAGTCATAATCAGTGTTTTCGTTCCTGCAAGCCTCACATCGCAGGTAGTGTAAATGCCCGTTCTTTGCACTCTAAGAGAGAAAGCGTCGAGTTTAAGACCCCCGCTGTCTCTAAGAGAAATCACTCAGTTTAGAAGTCAGCAATTTGCACTCTGGGAGAGAAAGCTCGCAGTGAATTACATTTCCAAGAGGGAGTACACTGCCGTCTTTTCTACATCTGTGATCACATATTCTAGGGATATTTTTGTCTCTTTTTATACGTTAATGTTTGCTTCTTAAATAGCTCTTGAAACTTGTAGAATAGGCTCCAGAATTTAGCGATTCATTGGACGATTCGTTTCTAAAATTTCACTGAGACAAGCGACTTTGGCAAATAAAATTCGATGCTACAACGCTACCTATGGGGACCCAGGACCTGCTATTTGAGTTATGATTAAGTGTAATTATCTGGTTGTGCTTATCTGATAGAGTTTGCAAGGTAGAGCTTTAGTTCCTAGGTCTAGACTTTCTAGTTATTGGTGACATTTTCCTGAGCGTGCAGACGATGAGTGACGTGGCTGAAGATATGTCAAAACCACACATCAGAAAATGAAGAAACCACGAAGAAATGGTCTCGGACCATTACACGACTTGATAACGGTTCTGGATAGACCGAAACGTCATCGTTTCTTCATTTTCTGAGGTGTAGTTTGGATATCATTTCGCGAGTATTTTTGTGCGGGCTTCCATAATTGGACTCTTACAAGCCAATTCGTGTGAGCTTCTAATCGTACACTCTCATGAGTATGTGGGTGTTTGTGTCTCTACACTAGGTGGTACCGAACTCGCTTCCTGCACAGAGAAACCTGTCGTTTACGACTCTGTGAGGAGGACTCTGGAGACTGCACGATTAAGAGGGCTCTTTATTACTCTTTATCGCCAGCCATTATTCAATTTAACGCTCCCTCCCCGGTGACTCGCGAGAGATGTCTCCTCTGACCCTTCGTGTGATGCTGGGCGGGCATCTTTCTTGTCTGATGCTCGGTGTGTATATCTTCCTGATGTGATGATGGGTGTGTATATCTTCCTGATGTGATGCTGGGTGTGTATATCTTCCTGATGTGATGCTGGGTGTGTATATCTTCCTGATGTGATGCTGGGTGTGTATATCTTCCTGATGTGATGCTGGGTGTGTATATCTTCCTGATGTGATGCTGGGTGTGTATATCTTCCTGATGTGATGCTGGGTGTGTATATCTTCCTGATGTGATGCTGGGTGTGTATATCTTCCTGATGTGATGCTGGGTGTGTATATCTTCCTGATGTGATGCTGGGTGTGTATATCTTCCTGATGTGATGCTGGGTGTGTATATCTTCCTGATGTGATGCTGGGTGTGTATATCTTCCTGATGTGATGCTGGGTGTGTATATCTTCTGATGTGATGCTGGGTGTGTATATCTTCCTGATGTGATGCTGGGTGTGTATATCTTCCTGATGTGATGCTGGGTGTGTATATCTTCCTGATGTGATGCTGGGTGTGTATATCTTCCTGATGTGATGCTGGGTGTGTATATCTTCCTGATGTGATGCTGGGTGTGTATATCTTCCTGATGTGATGCTGGGTGTGTATATCTTCCTGATGTGATGCTGGGTGTGTATATCTTCTGATGTGATGCTGGGTGTGTATATCTTCCTGATGTGATGCTGGGTGTGTATATCTTCCTGATGTGATGCTGGGTGTGTATATCTTCCTGATGTGATGCTGGGTGTGTATATCTTCCTGATGTGATGCTGGGTGTGTATATCTTCCTGATGTGATGCTGGGTGTGTATATCTTCCTGATGTGATGCTGGGTGTGTATATCTTCCTGATGTGATGCTGGGTGTGTATATCTTCCTGATGTGATGCTGGGTGTGTATATCTTCCTGATGTGATGCTGGGTGTGTATATCTTCCTGATGTGATGCTGGGTGTGTATATCTTCCTGATGTGATGCTGGACTTCCTGATGTGCTGGGAATGTATACCAGATGTGCAGCCCATCCTAATAAAATGAAAGTACTGATATTAATGATGTGGTCGATCGTACAAATATGGACGTGAAGGAACAATAGAAAGTAGACTTTTGTATTAATCAATTTGGACAATCCGGAAATGTTCTTCTATTTATGTTGCTAATGAAACCTGAACTGACCTTGCCTAACCATCCCAGGCCTATCTGAGCACTAATATAGCACACATATGTGCAATATTAGGTTCACGAATATTTAAGATTCGTTTTTAGCTTTATTTTTCGGGACTCAATAAATGAATAGTATAAAATGTTACTTTCTATTTGTCCATCACGTCGAGATATATTATATATATATATATATATATATATATATATATATATATATATATATATATATATATATATATATATATATATATATATATATATATACTCTTCTTTTTTCTATAGGCTCATTTCTGTATGAGAGACACCGTCAGGGGGAAAATGAAAACAAATATATCCTCTTAGCGATCTCATAACGCTAAGAGCAGATTCTAGCGAGCTGCCGCGTCGCGCTGACGGTCCTAGAGCAGTGATGGGAGGTGCTCTATGAGAGAGAGAGAGAGAGAGAGAGAGAGAGAGAGAGAGAGAGAGAGAGAGAGAGAGAGAGAGAGAGAGAGAGAGAGAGAGAGAGAGAGAGAGAGAGAGAGAGAAAGAAAGAGAGAGGGAGAATATATCCTTGATGAGATGCTTAATTAAAAATACACTTAACTCGTTTTGATTGAGTTCTTTAATATTATTACTATCGTTTATATTATTATTGTTGCGACTGGCACAACTTCCATTATTAAGGTTCCTTTCATAACAGTTCCACAATGATTCCTTTTACAGAAGCTGTACATTTGTTACTTTAAAAGCAGTAGTACAATTATTCCTTTTATAGGAGTTGTATAATGACTTCCAACTATATTAAGTCCAGACAGAATAGATGTATAATTACTTTAGGCAGCAAAAGTATAATGAGTCCAGGAAACAGCTGTAGTGAAGAAACCATGGCAAGCATGACCACATTAAAAATAAGTGCAGCATTAGCAGGGGCTTCATATGGAAATGGCTTAATAATAGAAAGATAATCCTGTGTAGCCTTGGAACATGAATGGGGAATTATTTCATGCACGTATAAAAAAGATAAGGGGATCATTTAAAACAATTAATCTCTATCGTAAATTGTAACTTTAAAATATATTTGTTAATCATATCTCTGGCTTTTAATGCAACAATATACGTCCTATAGATTATAATCATGTACTCTTTATTAGCGAAGGTTTAACTGAAGTAATGTATTATTTTGAGCAGAAAAGTTAAATTCTAATATTGATTTGTTTCTTACCAAGTATTTCGATTCAAACGCAATACAGAAAGAAATAAGATTAACCACATAGGAATCAGAAGTACATGATATACTAATTTGAGTACAAACACAGCACAAAAACACGCGCACGCATGCATGCACACATGCGAGCACAACACACACACACACACACACACACACACACACACACACACACACACACACACACACACACACACACACACACACACACACAAGGGGTCCGGTAGCTGAGTGGACAGCGCGCAGGACTCGTAATTCTGTGGCCAGGGTTCGATTCCCGGACCAGACAGAAACAAATGGGCAAAGTTTCTTTCACCCTGATGCCTCTGTTACCTAGCAGTAAATAGGTAACTGGGAGTTAGACAGCTGTTACGGGCTGCTTCCTGGGGTGTATGTGTGGAAAAAAATAGTTGTTAGTAACAGTTGATTGAGAGTTGAGAGGCGGGCCGAAAGAGCAAAGCTCAGCTCCCGTAAGCACAACTAGGTGAATACACACACACACACACACACACACACACACACACACACACACACACACACACACACACACACACACACACACACACACACACACACCCACACACACACACACACACACACACACACACACACACACACACACACACACACACACACACACACACACACACACGCACACACAGGAAAGGCTACGAGGTAAGGACGTGAGCTAAACCTCACGTCCCTAGAAAACAGAATAGTGAGGGGGACATATGATAATCTCCTACAAAATTCTCAGGGGAATTGACAGGGTGGACAAAGACAAACTCTTTAGCACGGGTGGAAGACGAACAAGGTGATACAGGTGGGTACTTAGTACTCAAATGAACCAGAGACATTAGAAAGAACTTTTTCAGTGTCAAAGTAGTTAACAAATGGAATGCATTAAGCAGTGAAGTGGTGGAGGCTGACTCAATACACAGTTTCAAATGTAGATTTGATAGAGCCCAGTAGGCTCAAGAATCAGTACACCAGTTGATTGACAGTTGAGAGGCGGGACCAAAGCTCAACCCCCGCAAGCACAACTAGATTAGTACATACACACACACACATTCCTCTTCTTCCCCCGCACATCTTTCTCCCATCACACACGAACGCATTCACAGAATTCTGCACACACGCTTTCCGATCCCGCCAATGTCTCCCTCTATCGACACGTATTTGTCTCTCACACGGATCTGAAACACCATCATGGACCGGGATTTATGTCATCTATCGTGTTTTACCCATTCACAACCCCAATATCTGCTGGTTGGTGTCTTATCATAGGACTCACTGATCCAGAAGCTGTAAGATGTAGGCCCATGGAAAACCGCTGGGGCGGAGGAGCACCGGATGGCCCCCTGGAAGGGAGCGGGGAAAGGCTCGCTGGAAACTGGAATCTCGAAGAAACTAGGAAAGTGGGGAGAAGAACTGGATTCCAGGTGATGGAATAAGGAAGGGAAGTGAAGTTGAATGGGGTTTGTGAACTGGGGTAAATAGGATGTAGGAGAGAGTTAATGAGAAATTTGGATAGGACTATTTTAAATTTGCGTACGACTATTTTAAATTTGGATAGGACTATTTTAAATTCGGAAGATAATCTGGATAAATTGGGAATGAAATAAAAATGTAATATTGGAGAAAAGAAGATCGAAGGCCACTGGGATAAATAATGAGGGTTGAAATCTCCTTTCCATGCAGTTGAGTTCGTTCCAAAACTCAAAATCGGGAGTCCCGGGTTCAAATCCCTTGGCGGGGCATAAATGGTTGGGCACGTTTCATTTCCCCTAATGCCTCTGTTCACCTAGCAGTAAATAGGTAACCGAGAGTTAACTTTTGTGGAGATGCATCCAGGGGAAGGTTCAGTAGTTCGACCTTTGAAGGACCTCGATACAACCCTAAAGTGAATACATATACATGCTTCCTGTCCCCGACAGAACGAATTATTATTATTGACATGAATTGTAGTGATTTGGAGTTTCCAAAAAGCTCGATGAAACCTTAATATGAATATGCAAATAGAAAGTGGTAAATCGATCAAGGAAAGTGGAGGATAAAAATGAAGAGCCAAGCGCTAAGCTCAGTCTGGAATCTGGAACTGGAAGCGAAGCAAGAAAGACTAAATGGGATACACTGGGTGGATTATACAATAATATGAGATTATGAACTGGAGAGAGAGAAAGAGAGAGAAAGAGAGAGAGGGAGGGGGGGGGGGCAAACAGGTGGGTGCAAGAACAAACTACTTTAGACTTTTGTTAGCAAGTTCAGAAATTTCCCTTCCAACAGTTAATACTAAGCCTTATCCCACTAATTTTCCCTGGAACATGACCCGCCAATCCGTTATCAGCCAGGTATCCATTTACTGCTAGGTGAACTGGGACGAATAGTTTCGGACTGGCACCCAGTCAATCCTCACTGCATGGCATATCCTCGCAGGCTAGACGTTAAAATTCACCTTGTCTTCAAATATTTACCCAAATGAAGGCTCTATGCATTCGTTCCTCTCTCAACTGTAGTAATGATTCTTGAGTCATGAGATAGACTAGTCAATATTCTCCCTGGCCCTACGCTGTGAGTCATTGTAAAAAATAAGTGCATCATGTAATCTCATAAAATAAATTCAAATTTCAGTTTTTTATATTAAAAAAGAGTAATGCATAAAAATTGAGAATCTGACAAGCAGCATCAGAATGGCATTAGTGTCTAATGAACGCGTCGAAACTCTTTCCCGCCGGCAGAAAAAAAAACAGGTTTTACACAAGATCAAACAAGTAAACTGATATATCCTTCAAGATCGGTGTAAGTAGCCGGGTTGTTTGTACAGCAGCAGCAACAACCCACGTTAGTAGGAACTGTGTTCTCTCTCGTGTAGACTCGACGAGGCGCAGTTGCATAACCTACAAATAACATCCTGTTTTTACCGGAATGTCGGAGATGGTTGTGAAAATCTTTCAAGGTTTTCCTTTACACTTTTGATTTACCGATTTGTTTCTCTTTATCTTATTTTTTGTTATTTATCTTTTAGACTCTCTCTCTCTCTCTCAACGCCCAGAACACACTTGCCGAACAAATGAACCATCGGTAAACAACCAAACGGAAACCACAAAAACCCACCAAAAAGACAATTGAATAAACACACGCGAGGAAAGCCAATCTACGAAGAATTTTTCTCATCGTATAAGGAAGAATAATGAGCAGGAGTGTGGCAGGTTCGGGTAGATTACCTCACGGAGAACTAGGCCCCAGTCTCAAGGGGCCAGAAAGAGAAGGGAGAGAGAGAGAGAGAGAGAGAGAGAGAGAGAGAGAGAGAGAGAGAGAGAGAGAGAGAGAGAGAGAGAGAGAGAGAGAGAGAGAGAGAGAGAGAGAGAGAGAGAGAGAGAGAGAGAAGACCGAGGACAGGGGTACCTATGAGCGATGAAATCCCTCAAGGCTCAGGCAGAGAGAAGGATCTGGGGGGTTGAATCACCCCGAATAGGTCTCCAGAAGCCCACTTCAAACGGACATCATTGGCGGCCTATGCTAGGTTACCCAACATAAAAACTGACTTTAAAACTCTGAGGAAGATCTCATTCATATATATATATATATATATATATATATATATATATATATATATATATATATATATATATATATATATATATATATATATAT